GATGTAATCTCATCCGACCAACCTCGAGGAACCGCCTACTCAAAAAATTTGCAACTGCCAGCAAAATGACTTTTAGTCAATGGGCTATCCAACACCTGCTCCTACAAGTGCAACACATGTGACTTGCAATATACATGCCTTATATCAATGCTAACAAATAATATCGTCCCACTGAAAATATTACCTTGCATTTCCATTTGAAATAGCAATACTTAGTATCATATTGCAAACTATTAGGGGATTGATTCCTGACACAAAGTTGGCTATTCATACCTACAAATATTCAATAACCCACGGTAACGACATTCATATTTTAATCAATATTAAACAATTCATTTCCATTAGCACTGAACTAAGCAACATTAAAAAAATCATTTATAGAGGTCCTTATGGCACTCAACCAAGGAAAAAACAATGTAACAAAATAAATTGCCTGTGGTCGAGCAGTGTCGAAAAACAGGGATTCTGATCTCCTATGCGCCGATAACCCATGGTAACGGCTTCCATATCTTAATCAACATTAAACAATTTATTTTTATTAGCATTGAACTAAGCAACGTTAAAAATTCATTTACGGAAGTCCTTATGGCACTCAACCAAGGAAAAAACAATGTAACAAAGTAAATTACCTGTGGTTGAGCAGTGTCAATAAATAGGGATTCCGATCTCCAATGCGCCACAAATTACCAAGATTGGATGAGGGGGTTGAACGGTTGATCACCGAAACTAATTGAAAACGATGCGTAAGAGTGCAACAAACTGGGAAAGGCTTCGCATGGGTGGACAATGGAATGCTAAAGCACCGGAGTTAGTCAGAAACACAAGGGTGTCCAACTAGAGTGAGCCAGAAACACAGGGAACATAGGGGCCTCCAGGGCAGTTGAACGGAGGGGCCTGAGAATCCTTCCAATGGCCTCTAAACCCAGCTTTGAGCTTCCTTCCAACAGTCAACACAGAGCGCCTCTGACGGCCGGTGTACAGTAAACTGACCCTCGAGCTTCCTCCGAATGGTGAATGTAGAGTATCGTCGATGGTTGTTGACCGGTGAACACAGGGGGCTCTAAGAATCCTTCAAACGGTCGAAACTTTGAGAGAAGGGAGTCTACTATTTTTTTGGGAGAAGGAAGAGAATGAATATATTCTTCTTTTCCAGTCGAAACTTTGAGGGAAGGGAGGAACTTCGTTTTCTTCTTCAGCTCTGAGAATTCTTCCAACAGTCGAAACTTTGGGAGAAGGGTGTTTGAGAAATCTTTCAACGTTCAAAATGAGGAAAACGGTCGGGAGCGACAGATGTTTTCACTTTCTTCTTTTTCCAACAGTCGAAACTTTTGGAGAAGGGAGCCTCCTTTGAGAAATCCTCCTATGTTCGAATGGGGAAAAAGATTGTTAGAGCGACGAGAGTTTCGGTTTCGAAACAAATGGACAAATGTCGAAATGGGAAGATGGTCGGGATCTCTACCGAATGGTGAATGCAAGGAGCTTCCTTTGAGAAATGCTTCAACGTTCGAAATGGAGAAGACGGTAAGGAGCGAAGAAAGAAGTCATCGTTTTAGAACGGAGTTTGTTTTACTCTCCTCTCTTTTTTTGTGTCCAGGGGTATAACAGTAAAAAGGTTACACCTTTTTCGCTGACGTGGGGGAAGAGTTGAAAATTTTCATATTTGCTGGCAGGCGAGATTTTTGGTTTCCGTACCAGCCTATTTGATATTTCAATTTCTGAGGGGGAATTGACCAAAGAAACCCCTAAAATTTATTTGTAAACGTGACATGGTGGGTTTCATTCAGCTTTCTTCGGTCTTTGCCGTGGACGGGAGTTGTTCATACTATCTTGCGGATCAATTCTATCCATAATCCAATTTCTCATCAACGGTTTTTTTTGTAGATGGGATTGGCCACGATTTTCTTTTGCTAATATGTTTTACGCACACTCTCCAAAACTTACATTGTTTACCGTTGAAGGTCTCCTCCACCGAAAGTCTCTATTGGAAGTTGTTGTGCTCTATCGAAGGTTTCCACCAAAGCTTTCATTCATCCAAACTCTTCACCGCTCCATTGATAGTCTCCTCTACTGTGCTCCACCGAAGCTCTCCTCTGTCCAAGCTCTTCATCGCTCCACCAAAGGTCTCCTCTACTGTGCTCCACCGAAATACTGGCAATAGAGAAGAAGAGAAGGCGAGAGGGAATTGTAGAGCTCATCCCACACGAAGTACCGACGATAGAGAAGAAGAAAGGGAAGAAGGATCAAGAAAAAAAACCTTCTAACGTTGTGATTCATGGGCCAAAGCCTGGTAAACCGACTAATCTCTCAAGGATGCACCAGATACTTATGAAGGTCAAACACAACCCGCCTCCTCACATGAAGCCTTCTCCACCTCCGGCGCCAGCACTGCTACTTGATACTGAACTTTTCGGGTCTTAAACAATGTCCTTTATATTTTGAAAATTACTAGTCATACACTTCCATTTAGTGGGGATATTGCTGCACTTGTCATACACTTCCATTCAGTCTGTAACAGGTGTTCCATTAGATATGCTATTTGATTTGTTATATGCATGCATGGGATTTATTAGAGTTGTTCATGGGTCGGGTTGGGTTGGTTTATTGCGGTTTTTCCAACCAACCTGACCTGGTCGGGTTACCTGACATAGAAATCGAAACCGACCCAGTGTTAAGCAAGACCGACCTGGTTGGTTTGAGTCGGGTTGGTTTTGGTTCTGAGTTCATCCCTGTGATAAAATCTTTCTAATTTTAAAAACAGTCATAAATTGAACATTATTTCAGCCATCTCCTATGATAAAATTTAAATGAAAAGTTAATCACAAAAGTTGTTCATTAATCACTATTCACTAATCCAAAGTTTCTTGCAACCATTAAAAAACTAGGTGGCCTAATGGGCTTTGGAACTTCATGTTTGAACTAGGAACTAAGTCGGTTTGGTTCGGGTCGGTTTCGATTTTCTTGTGTGAAAACTGAAACCGACCCGAATCATCAGTTCAGGAATTTGCACAACCCAAAACCGACCCATGCTGATGAAAACCCGGCCGACTCGGATTGGGTCGGTCCAGGTTGGTCGGTTTGGTCGGGTTGGGCCTTCTTATGAACAGTCCTAGGATTTATATATGTGTACGTAATAGGACATATGTCCCCCCTGCCAGACAACTCTATCAATGCTCCCTCATAAGAAAAGATTTCCTGCGACCCAATCAAATGTTAACACGCCAATGTTTTAAACCAAACACCAGTTTTTGTTTTTATGAAAAAGGGTCCTTGGAACATAGTGTAGAAAAGTAGGTGGGTTGTTTCCATTCATTTGTTTTCTTGTTGGTAATCTGTTAATCACCGGCCACCGCAACTTCGCGAGTATATTGTCAGTCAATACGTGTTAAGGTTTTTTCTTGCACAAAATCATTACTTAATTTTTTAATTTTTATATTTTTTTAATGTTTTTATCAATGAAATAATATTTTTTTCAAATATTTAATATATATTTTATAATTTTTTTTAATTATTTTACTATTGTTTTATAAAAGAAATTGATATTTGTTGGTTAATATTAATTCATTGATGTATTTTTTAAAATATTTATCATACAAAATGCAAAAATTAGATATTTACAATTAACTGTGTATTACCACATGGAATAAAAAAAGTGTGGTGTGAACCATAGGACGCCATTGTGGGTGTAAATTGGTCCAGTCCACACAGTTTGTCCACAGTTTAGAACAGTTGTGGACTATGGTGTGATGTGGTGTAGATTGGTCCCTGGCACAGGGCATGCCACACCTATCAATTTCTCATCCACACTACAGAACACCCCCTTAGAGGCTCAAATAAGGAAAAGGGAGGGAGAAGAAGACAAGGGCAACGTGAAGTGGGGAGCGATGGATGAAGCAGTTGTGACTTGTGTCCGCTCATTCCCGATTAAGTGGATCCGCTACCCACTTACAACTGGAGAGATGTTTGGATATATTTTCACTTTGATACTTTTAAAAGTATTGAAGTATAACGTACATATAATATTTTGACTCTACTTCTATTTTGAAATCTATTTAGATAAAAAAAAAATTGTAAAGTATAATTTTCAAAATAAAAGCAGCATTTACCATTTGGCAAAAGCATGACAATAAATACATATAAAAAACACGTGACTATCATGTGGTAATGACACATGTATAATATTAACACGTGTCAACTTGTGTTGTTATATGACATGTGATAGCCATCAAATAATGACATGAATCTATGACACATGACAATCACGTAATGATGACATATATCACAGGTTGATACAGAAGGTTTTCGAACAGCGATTGATCCGACGGTCAGACCGTTCAGTGCGGGAACCGTTCAGGCAACCGGTTCTATTTTATTCAAAACCTGGTTTTTGGTTAAAACCGTTGAAAAAGTCAACAATTTATTGACTCGAGCGGTCGAATCATCGACCCGTCGACTTGTTCAATAATTTTTGACCATTTTTTTTAATTTGTTTATCAAAACAGATCGTCTATTCAAATCAAACGGTCGAACCATTGACCCAAAAACTGATAACCAAAACGATTCTATTTCCAGGTTGTTTTCTAAAACACAGGGGAAATACCATTTTTAACGTTTTCTCCAATACCCAACCATTTATTTCCTGTTTAGCTTAATATAACGCTTAACGGTATAACGCTTAACGGCATTTAGCTGTCAAACAACATCAAATAAACATTTATCAACCACTTTCTTGTTTTTCTTGATGAATGAACCACTTTCTTGTTTTTCAAGATAAATTAAATAAACAGTCACAATACCAAAGGTGATTGCTTTTGCTAATAAAATGGGCTGGAGTTCTTTGCTTATTGAATCCATCCCTACGAACTTGAGAAAGTTTTATCACTGTCATGAAAAAGGACAATAGCATTACTCGTGGGTTAATCTCAGAGGGCTAAATTTTGTTGAAGAACAAGCATGTTGGGTGAACCCACCAGAATGAAGTGGATGCTTTATCTTATCCCTCCCCTCCCCAGAAAAAAAAAATGATACAAATTGATTTTCAGAATTGCCGATACTCAAAATACAGGGTTAGATGTCACATGTGAATTGTGATGTGGGAGGACCTGTGGGTTCAAAGTTGGTGGGGCATTGCATTGTTTTGAAGCGCAGCATAGCCCTTGGCCCATGGCTTGGACTCGTGATAAGTAGTAACACTAGACACATGGATGATGGATCCAAAACAAACACTCAGATTCTGAGGCTTCCAACATTGACAGCTTCCCCTCGTCCGGCTTTATATGGACCAGCCAGCACCCCCGCCGTATAGAATATCAAATTCCTTGATGATTCAATTTCTTTTCATACATGTAAAATTGAGATACAATTTACAAATATTGTTACACCCAGGCGGAAATTGCTTCAGGGATCATGAAGTCTCAACAAACGTGGGATTTGACGATGGTGCTTGACAAAACAAACACCACTTTACGTGTACGCCTCTCTCTCTCAGCTAGACTACTCGTTCAATTTGCAAATGTTAATGAATTTCTGAACCGCGTTGTGGTATTGTGTTCCCTGTGATACAAACGGACGCTACATGTTAGCAGAGCAGATAAGTTACAAGAATATGGAAAAATGAAACACAGGACATACATCACATGGCAGACAACTAAATTATAGGACCTTACCTCCCAATAAAGCTGGTTGCAGTCTGTGCACTGCCAAAACTCTAAATTCCGGTCAAAAAGGCAACTAGGAATTACTTGGAATCCCTTTGCAGCTGCAATGGCTTCTTCCGTCGTTAGTGGCTTCTGAATGAACCTCCCATTGCATTTGGTGCACCTTGACATTAGCTGATCCTCGGAGATCTTCAATTGGAAAGTTTCGATCACCTGCAATAAATACCTTAATCTGTCAGACTTGGAATTCTTTTCAGCAACAGTTTATTAGCGAAAAGGATATGTCATCAATATGAAAAACCTGCCATGATAAAGGACCTGTCACAACTCAAAACAACTAACATGATGACCTGCCCAATAGTTTCTAATGCTGAAAGCTTTCAAATTTCAGTGTTAAATCAGTAGCTTAACTATATTTCAGCTTCTAAATATGACTAGAGATTATTAAAATATGTCGAAGGGAATCCCTTTGACCGAGGTTTATCAGATGAATATCTGAAAAGTATCACCAAAGTAGAAGTTCCCAAGGGAGAACTGCTATGACACCATGAAGGGTGTTGGATGTTTAAAGATGGTGGTTTTCCTAATATCGTAATGTAGGGCTTGTTCTAGAAAGAAAAATTATAAAATAATGTGATACAAGCAAGGGGTGCAATTTGATTTCTACCCTAGCCTTAAAAACAGAGTTTTTGAAAGACACATTGGTTTTTTACTAAGGCTCAGTTTGTAGTGAAATTTCATTTGCACTACTGCAAGGTCCGGTAGTGCAGATGTTTTAAATGTAAATTCTTATTTGTTATTGTTTCAGCTTATGATTTATTTTGTTTGTTTGCATTGTAGATGAAGATAACTTGAATCTATGTACTTGCACTCTTTCTTATTCAGTCCCCTTTTGAAAATGGAGGATGAAAATTCCCCAATAGATTATAATATCACTTTCCTTGTTTCAGAAAAGTTAATACATCATCCAATGGATTGTTAGATTTTCTCCATAAGGAGCTTTGGTAATGTCATGACACAGGGCTTTCCTAGAGAGAATCCATAAAGTAAGACTGTTGCATGTTCCACAACCAAAATCAGAAACCATCGGGAATCAGATATTACAGAAACATAGATGGCATGACCATATGATGGTTATTACATGCTTAGGACTGGCTTGGGAAAGGGATTCTGTGAGACTAGTGTTTCTGTCAAGGGAATCTGAGTATTAGTTTCTGTAAGCTGTTAATAGATATAAGCTGAGGGGCCGACCAATAGGTAGTGATTGGCTGGATGACAGACAAGAATGTCTAAAAAGCCCTTGAATGCTAATAATGATTTCCTAAATCAGCAATTAGGTAGACTTCCAATACTACAGAGTAAGCTTTTTAGGGAACTTCTTTCCTAATTTGAGATGTAACTTTTCATACATTTTTGTATAGGGATTTAATTGTGGACATTGAATAGCCTCCAGGGTTATTTTTGTATTGATTATTGTGGATTTTGTACTTGCATCATTCCAAAATAATGTCAAACCAACTTTTCTGTTTCTGATAGAAAGAGAGACAAACGGAAAGGATCACTGCTAGTCCAACTGAATTGTACATAAAATTCATCTGTAATCAAAAGCTTGAGTTCAAAATCCAAATTTGCTAGACCATCTAGCATACACCTTCAGTATCAGATTGAATTAAAGAATAACTAAGCTTTCGTTTGGATAAAAGAAGTGCTTTTAAAAAAACATAACAATCCAAAGCCGAAATACTTTTAATCCCTAAAGCGTAAAGCCTAGGGCCCATTTGGGAGGGCTTCAGCATTGATTGAGCTGTGTTGATCGAGCAGCTTTGAAGAAGCTACCAAGACTAGCTTCATTGGAAAGTCAATTTCTCAGCTCATTGTAGGCATTTTTGGGCTTTCCAGGTTTTTCACTAAACATAGCTTCACAGCTTTCCGCGTGGGGCCTACCTTGGAACACCATAAGCCACCGCATGACAGCCCTCCCATATGGGCATTAAAAATGGGGCTTTGTGCTTTAAATGCATAAATCCTAAATCTTATCCAAACACAACCTAAATAAGTCAACATAACTCTTAATGTATAGTCCAAGAAGTCAATTCTTCATCACTGAGATGAGGAAGATGCATACCTCGAGCAACTGCTCATTCTTCAGAAGACTGTTTACTCTATAGATTTGATTCTTTATCAAATATCCATGCCTCAGCAGCTTAGTATCTCGTGTCAAGAGCACTCTCTTTTCCTTGTATGCTTGATCTATTAATTGCCTAACAACCAAAACAATGGATTATCACATTTATAGAACATTAAACAGCAACTCCAAGCAAAAAGTTTATCATGATTCACAAGAGGAAGAACACCTTGGTTCAGGCTTTTTTGAAGCTGGAGTTGCAGCATCTATCCCAACGCATCTCAAGTGTTTTGCTAAACCTTCTACCTGGAAAACATTTCATTAGTATTATGCATACAATGTTAGTTCAATCCATCAAACTGCATTGTGGATGTGGAATTTTGGAAAAAATTCCAAATATAAAAGATGCATTACATATTTATTTTGTCAAAGAGAGAAAGCAAGGTTTTTATTTGAATAATATTCAAGAACTAAGATTATGGCCCAGCATGCACAGAATACATATTCAAAATTTGTCTCATGCAATAATTTCATTGAATATACTCCCCATTAAAACATGTCCAATATAAGAAGAGCAGGATTATCAGAACCCACCACGAAATACAAGGTTCATCACAACCCCCCAACCCCCCCCCCCCAAAAAAAAAAAAAGAAGGAAAGAAAAAAACAAGAGCTAAAGAGGAGAATCACTTACCATAACATCACACAGAAACTTGGGGCATCCATCACCCCCCAGGGATATATCCCATGGTGGGGGACCTTGCCAATCACTGTTATTTTCAACTCTTTTATCTCTGCAACTTAAATTTGATCTGGAATGTCGTTTCCCTTTTTTTCTAGTCATTCTAGGTTTTCTTTCAGAATCCTTCAACAAGATCTTTTCACCATATTTCCTGACGATCTTTGATAGTGATTCATCTAGAGGATTGGTATTACATGACCTAGAAATAGATGCCACTGCTGTATGATTTTGTAGATGTATCTCTGAAATAGCAATAGATCTGATGATATCTGATGCCTCACGAAAATTTGTCCTTAAAACATTATCAACAACATCAGGCTTCTGAAGGACCTCTTTCAGTCCAAGTGCTGTATTTGGATACCGCAATTCAGTTATGTTGTGCAAAGAACTTCCTGAAATACAGTTTGCAAGAGGTTTTTGTAAGTGAAAAATACCATATAGCCTTGATTTAAAAGATTAAAGAAAATTAAGAGGCTTTGCATATTTGATATATGCTACATTACATTGATGCATTCTGTATTTGTTGTGCAGTTCCATTAGGAATTATGTTCATTCACAAAGAAGGAAAAGCTAAGATTGCAAGCAAGGAAAGCAAAGAAAGGTGGTCCTGTTGCATAATGAGTCTAAGGCCATGTTTGGCAAAAGTGTAAACACAAAACTATTTGGTACAAATACAAAATACTTCGGTTCATATAAATGCAAAATGCAAACTGGTTTAAATGACAGATTGCACTGTTGTTTGGTTGGAAGGATGCAAAAGAACAATGCATTTTTGTCACCATTTGTTTGCAAAAAAAAAAAAAAAAATCCCTACAAATGCAATGCACAATCCTGTAGGGGAGGCATCAAATGGAGATTAGTGAGGCTTTATTTTCCTGATTTAGTCTACTGCAATCTCAAGACATTCTGGTTTTAACAGAACAGGGGAAAAGAAAGATTAACCACAAATTCAATGCTCTCCATTTGATGGAGATCTCGGTCAATTTGATCAAAAGGGTTGTATATGAATTGTAAGGACAGAGAAAAGAAAGGAAGGAGTCCAAATGATTAACCATAAATTCAGCGATCATTATGAAGAGGATCAAAGAGGATCTCAAATAACTACCTYGATTTGCCAAACTACTCAATAAACCTACCTTTATTCATATTTTCTAGATGGTCCAAAACATAAAACACAAAAGACAAACCTATAGATCTGATTCATCTGAAAACAAACTCTGATCTGAAAAAAGAGGGATCTCAGATATGAACGAGGGAGAGAGAGAGTTGATTAAAGCGGATCTGCAATGCTTCCTCCAGGGATGAAAGTTGAAGGTTGTGTCTAATGCTGTACATGACGTCTTGCACATGAGAACCAAGATTTGGAGATGGATGTTACTGTTAGGATAACACTAGAACCAGAATCAAGAAGATGAGAACCAAGATTGACCTAACATGCAACATCTTGCAAGGATTTTAGTTTCTCAACGGTCACTGTCACTTATGAAGGATGATCAGAAATATCCATTGTTGGCTTGGTCACTGGGAATTCTATGGAAGAAGAAGCTAAGATGGGAGCAAAAATTTACACAGTATGCATTGACCGAAGAGTGCAAAGTATGCATTGATTTTTCAATGCAAACTTTGCTCTCATTTTAGAAGTAAACTCTGACAAGATTGCAGATAAATGTTGATTTTCAATGTATATTTACACTCTTAACAAATGCTTGCAAACCTGAACCAGAACTCATATTTGTAACAGTTCATTCAGGGTTTGCATTCTTACCAAACTCAGCCTAAAGTACATCTTACCAAACTCAGCCTAAAGTACATCTTACCAAACTCAGCCTAAAGTACAAAATGGATTACAAATTATGAAATTAAGTTGTAAAAAGACAGTGGAGCTTTTTAGCACCTCACAATATGAAAGTACAAGTAGGAAGATCCATCAGAGAAAACAAGTTAAAATTGGTCTGGGACTGGTAGGCAAAATCCAATAAATGGTTGTAGACCCATTACTGCTAATGCAAGATATAATGACAAAAGTCAGGTGCCTCTAGGATTACCTCATGTCAAGATAGACAGCAGAAATATGACCATACATGCAAAGAACCAATCAAATATGGTGTTGTTTCAATGAACCAACACTTCCAAAAATTGTGATTGCAATCAACACCAAATCCAAAACTTGCCTACATTCCACAAAAGAACCTTGATAGACTGAAGGTGGACCAGTTTTAGGTGGCCCTCCTTCATAATTAATACAATTTACCATTAGTGATCCAAAAATCCCCATTTTGTCTAGAGCCTATCCTGGAACTATTGACCTAATATAGTTATCTCCAATAAAATCCTTCATTTATCAAACTGTGGGCTCGTAAATTGATTCATATCTTCTCAAAAGAGACTCATATTTGTCTCCAGTGGAATTAAGTGTTTGCACCAGAAGCCAAAGATCTAGCCTCCTTCATGTGATGATGCTAAAAGCAGTCACGGCCCTTTTTTCTGACAAGTAATAAGGGAGTATGTATTCTATTAATGTAAAGAAGGTGAGGAACCCTCATAGATCATATACAAAACGACATTTACAGTGATTTCACAGTGTCAGCCACAAAAACTATACATTTCATAGGGCCACAAAAGCAAGCACAGGCCCTAACTGCCAATTAAAATTTGGAATCATAAGATGAGGATTCAAAATCAGTAAGAGTAGATACATTCTCAAGATAAGTACTCGCTCATCTTGATGCTCCAGATATTGCAACAATAATTCATACAAATTGATCTGCATTAAGGCTTAAAGGAATTGTCAAAGTTGTACAGGCAATCATTCTGTAACCTTTTACTATGCAAGCGACAGACATTTTCTATAGAAATTCAACATGCATAAGTTTGCCATGTCTGTTCCATATTGCAAGCAACTAAAATGCCCATGAAAAAAAAAACTATATGCAACTTTTTTTTTTTTGAGAAAAGTTAACTAAGATTCATTAATAAAAAAAGGGGGGCATGGGAAGATGTACAAAGCAGGGGAAGAACCCCTGTAAATTACAAAGGAGGAAGCTTGTCACTATTAAGTTGCTCTAAGAACACTCCACATTTAGCTAAGCCATCTGCTGTATGATTGTATTCCCTTGGAATCCAAACTAACTTTACATTTAGGAAGTCCAAATAGTCCCTGGCCTCATCAAGATAGTGACTTAATCTCCAAGGCCCTCCCACTTTATTAGATAACACAATTTTGGGCATCAAGCATCAAGACAGTAATACCGCAGCCTTTTTTCTATAATTGGTTTTATGTCATATGATTAACAAGGTGAAACAATTAAAAACGTTACAAGCATCGTAAAAAGTATACCTTCAACAACGCTTCCCTGAAAGACATCAAATATTTCCAATAGGTAGTATGCATCTGCAGCTGCATACAGTTTCTGCTCTTCTGTAAGGGGGCGGCATGACCAATCACTACATTGGAGTTCCTGGAGGAAGATTCAGGTTACATCAGACCTGCTCGGATAATTTCGGTAACGGTCATCTTAGCCCTTGAAAACAGAAGGAACTAATCAAGAAGCCCACGTACAGTTAGTCTATCCTCCTTCAGGTTTTAAATACCGTCAAACATCACAGGCATAGGAATATTGAAGCAAGATGTTTTCAACCAAGTAAAGTGAGCAAAGTCAAGCAAAGACATAGGGAGTCAGACAAAGAAATTCTGGTAATTCAAACAAGCAGATTGATTTATATAGTTCTATAATGATATTTTAATATCCATTTTTCTTTTTTTCTAATAAGATTTTAATATCCAATTTTTCCAAGATATACAAATTTGAAATTGTTAGTATTTTCTAGGAAGTAAAGCAGTTCGTGAAGATAAAAACATATTCACTTCCAGAAAACAAATTAGATCTTTTATTAGGCAGCCAGTTTGGCACCAAATCAATGGTTCTCCCATTGTCAACCAATTAGCATTTATTGCAGAATAGCCAGATGATGGAGAAATCTCTGTTGCCTGCCTAAAGAGTAAAACCGGTTCTAGTAACTGAAGAAATCTTCACCATCTGAAATGTCTATGCTGTTTTTTTTTTATCAATAACATCAATTTCATTAAATTAAGAGAATAGAGGGAAAGGAATACAAAGGGAGATAAAATAACTTAGCTCCCAAAAAATCAGAAAACTCAGGGAAAGCAAAGAAAATTAAAAACTAGCCCAGAAAACAGCCTCCCTATTCACTCCTTGCTTGGCCAACCCATCCGCAAATGAGTTGGCACTCCTCTTCAC